CAGGCGAGCCTGCGCATGCATGAGGAAGTCGCTGCTTGTGTTGATTGTTTCTCCAGGAGTCTCCCTGCCCGGCTCCGTAGTGAAGTTGAAACGTTGAGTGGGGCCTGGCAGGCCTCCGACGCGCCATCGAGGTCCCTGGCGCGATTTCTGGAGAGACGGTGAGGTGCATCCGCCAGAGTTTTCCCAAGTGCACGTGCTGCCCCGATGGCTTCCATCCGAGGCACTGAAGCGTGATGGGTGGGTCGGCGCTGTCTTGTCTGGCACGGCTCTACCGTCTCATGGACGTCGCGGGGCCGATCCAGGCCTAGGGCCTTGTCGTCGTTCTCGTGGGGAGGCCCGCCAGCGGCCGCCGCCCCATGAGGCGCTGCGACGCCTTCGAACGCCTCCACGGGGAAATACGCAGAGGCCCTTGCAGGGCCTGGGAGGCTCGGGCTCGCCTTGGGCTTGAGTTCTCCATGGGCCAAGGGCGCAGCGGCCTCGATCTGGTTCGGATCCAGTCCGTTGCTCCCGAGCGGGCCATTGGAGAAAAGGTGTGTCGGGCCAGCCTGCTGTGGGGTCTCGAGTAGTTCTGCGAGCGCTGGGAAAGATCTCGCGTTTCCCATTGCGCGTCGTGCTCTACGCATTGTCATCGTGGCGCAGGTGGGATCGGCCCTTTTTGCGGGGCGGGGCGTGCTCGCAGCCGTTGTGTGCTCGAAGAGGCATCGTTGCAGGTGGCGCCTCTGTCACATATGAATCGGATGCGTTCATGTGGAGTGCCGTCATGCATGGTCTAAACGTTCTAGGGGCCAGCCAGGGTCTTCATGTTGATGATCTCTCGCTTCATTCGTGGCGTGCCAATTTAAGTGGGCGCGCGGTGCAGATGAAGGTTTTGTCGACGACCATGTCCTACCGCATCGTGCCCACTTCTAATGTCCCGCTCGCGGGGCGGAAGATGTACCCCGTTGCCAATTCGCAAGGGCACCTCAGGGAGATCAGGGGGCAGTTGGGATTCTTGGGAGGAGCGGCAGCGTGGGCCCCAGGTAATCTCAGAGTCTCTTTGGCCGCGGGAAAGAGCAACATTATTGCCATGGCAGGAAGTATTCGCATGGAACGTGTCAAGAAGTTTTAGCGCCGAAATCAGATATTGGGCATGCTAGAGGGATGTAGGAGGGCCAGGGCGAGGCTCTTCAAAAGCGGGGCCCTGTCGACGATTTTCCGCGGGATGGGGGTCCAAGGGGTCGCGCCTTCCGACATTCTTCATGTTCGACGGGCTGCAGCACGAGCGGCAGGCATCAGTCAGCGAGGGTGTTTGTGGGAGCTCCAGTGGGCCATCCACGAGCATCGCGGGGGTCCCCTCTACTGGGTCGCAGGGCTGTTAAAGCGCTGCGCGCGGGAGTGGTGATGCACTAGTGAACCGTCTTCGCGTGGGAGACCTCGGCGCCGGGATGTGCTGAACCTTGGAGATCGGAGCGATTGTTTTCACGCTGCCGAGCGCCGGTTGGTCTTGACCCCGCGGAAGCCATGGTTGCGACGCGCCAGTGGGCTGATCTCGGCCATCCTCCCCCGGCTGGAAGCTGGCGGATGGTCGTCGGAAGGGCCTGCCGTGTTTGTTCCGAAGAATGGTTGCATGCGGAACCTTACAGAGAGAACCACACAAGAAATCTCATATGTTTTTTTAGTGGTCATCCGCCATGCTTTGCTACAGAAAGTTATAGCTCCTGGCTCTGGGGGTAGAAATCTCGCAGAGAGGCCTGTGGCTACCCCTGGTTCAGCGAGTAGCAAAAGGCCTCTCACCCGAGCACGTGCATATGTTCTGCCAAGTGATGTCGGGAACGGTCCCGGCTGGAGAGGCCCTCGCGAGATGGGGCTGCGAAGTAGATGTTCGGTGCCGTCTTTGTAGAGAACATGATGAGACGCTGTGGCATATATGTTGGGGGCCATCCCGCCCAGATGCTGTGTAAAAGCGGTGGGGGTTTTTCTGGGGCGAAATCCTGGGCCAGGTCCGTGGGGTTGCCCAGGATTAATTGCAGTTGTTGCGTTTGTGGGCCCCCTTTGCCCCGAGCCCCCTGAGCCATCGGCGGGCTGGCAGCTGATTTTTTCTTGGGGGGGGGGGGGGGGGGGGGGGGGGGGGGGGGCGATGGGCAACCCGCGCTCGAGTTTCAGTTTGAGCCGTGTGATGGCCTTTGCACGGACGGTCCGTGCGTGAATGGGGGGAAAGAAGAAATCACGCGGGCTGCAACCTCTGTTGCGCAACTGCAGGGAGACAAGCTCGTTCGTGGAGTATATGACCCGCTGCCCGCGGAATTCCGCCAGGCGGCCAGCGACGTGGAGCGTGGGGCGCTGGCTGCCAGCATTCTGCGACGGGAAGGCCTTGCCGATGTTTGTGTCCCCGAGCCCGTCTCTGTGGACTGCGCCGCGCTTCTTCTTGTGACCCGAGGCTCCGCCAAAGCCCTTGAGGGCTCGTCGCGGCTATCGTTTTTCTGGCGCGAGATTTCCCGGAACATTCGGGAAGGGCCGTGGGTCCTTGAACAAGGCCAAGGCCCACAAGGCCTTCGGCGATGCTGTAGACGAAGAAGACACAATTCGTATTTTAGGGTCGCGCCTTGCGGGCATTTGGGCTAAGGCTGCCGCCCAGAGTCATAGCCCTAACCCCCAGGAGCTGTTGGACTCTGAACGGGCGGAAGTTGAATGCAACAGTCTAGCAGCGGGAATCATTTCGATTCTGCAGGTGCGGCCCGATACTGGGGCCCAATTCGAGAAAGTTCCCGAGAAGGCCAGGGAACCACCTCGCGATTAGACAACATGTTCTGGTTCCACGCGGGGACCAGCATCGCTGCGCCAGGTGCCTCCGAGCTGTGACACTTGACACAACCACCGCCCGCGCCGAACCCAACGCTACTATGACTGCGCTGCTGCGAGGGCAAGGCGGGGACCAGCACGTTCTGCACTGGGCTAGGTTGGTGGAGACAGATGTGCCTATTATTTTCTGTGTGAAGTGCGCCGGCTTCGCTACTTGCAAAGTGTCCGCCCGCCTGATGGACAATTGCGAGCCCCTTCGGAAGAGCTCGGAACGTTCCAAGCTCCTCAAGAGACTTTTACCTGGGACGAAATTTCGGCTTGGGCCCGCCTTCCCCCTCTCGTCTCGTCCTTTCTTTCCCCTCCCGCCCCCGCCTCTGCCTCCTGCCCCTGGCCAGCCGTGTTCGTCCTGGGAATCCCAAGTTTGTAGTCGGCACTCGTCGTTCTGTGAATGACAGAGTGTCCGCCAGGTCGTAGAGGAGGAGGAGGAGGAGGAGGAGGAGGAGGAGGAGGAGGAGGAGGAGTAGGAGGAGGAAAGAGGAGGAAGGAGGAGGGAGAAGGAGATCGAGGAGGTGTCTTATCAGGCCTCGCCTTCTCTGGTGTTGCCCGGCGCGCGGCTGTCGCCAGTCAGCTGCGCGCCCCAAAAGGTCCCCAAAGGGCCCCTGGAGGCCTTTCCTTCACCCCCCATTTGGGTCACCCTCCATTGCCGCCCGACCGAATCGGATCGTGCCGAGTGTCGGAGCCAGCATCGAATCGGATCGGCCGCGTCGCAGCTCTGGGCCTTCGTCCGCGCGCCTTGCCAGGCGGGGTCTGTCACCGCGCACTTTTGTGTGGATGGACCTCTCTCTCCAGCTCCTCGCCGCCTCTGGCGGTGTGCGCTGCGAGCAGGACTGCAGCAAAGCCACAGAGAAGCGCCGCATTGACAGTGTAGCTCCGCACACGTGACGCATGCCAGCGAGCAAGAACACAGCAAACGTCAACGGTCTGTCCTACCCTTTCCCAGACCCCCGACGTCGTCCTTATTTTCGCAACGTCGACCCCCAGAGGTCTGGACCCCTATCCAGGACCAGTCTTTGATCCCCAGTCGCCTCTTGACGGTCCTGGGCCCCAGTGAGGGCCCCTGGAGGCCGAACATAGCGAAAAGCCTCCCGTCGTGATTTTCTTCACGGCGCGAGGGGGTCTGGGCTCCCCTGAGATCCGAGGCTGGGAAACAGTGGCGACACCACAAGAAGTCGCGACCGGAGCCCCGGAGCCCACCTTCTCGCGCCATCTCTCGAGCCGCACCGCTCGGGGAGGGTCCCTGGGATCCCGAGGGACCGGGGCGAGAGCGCCCGTCGTGGCAGAAGTTGCAGCGCCAAGACCTCGGGGCTCGCCCCCCCTCCGAAAGAGGTTCGGCTATGCAGTCGGGGCGCTGAAAAAGGAACCCTTTTCGTTGGGGAGGGGCTCGGTGCTCCTCGATTGTTTTGCAGTTTCTCTTAGGTTTTCCGTGGGAAATCGAAGTTTGACTTAGGGGAAACAGGGGCCTCGTTTCTTATTTAGGGTTCCTTAGGTCAACGCCCCGACTGTATACGCAAGCGTGACCCTGGGTGAGAGTGACCTTTGCTGCGCGGCCTCTGGGGGGCCGCGGGGGGACCAGATCTGGCAGCTGCCGCTGCTTCGCTTTCAGCCACCCGTGGGCCCATCTGTGCCCGCACCAGAGGTCACTCCTGCGAAAGGTCACTCTTGCGTTTATGTCGGGCCTGTCCCCCTACAGGGGGGATTTTCGACGAGAAATAAGAAATACCCCAAAAAATACCCCCCCCCAAAGGTTAAAAGTACTCGAAACATAATCCCCCGACTGTTTTTTTGTACATTTTTTGATTATTTTTGGGGTATCTTTTATTTTTCGTCGAAAATCCCGCTGTAGGGGGACAGGCCCGACTTAACTCTTACGTCTGCGGGGGCTGCGCTCGGGAGCTGCCCTCGGGGGCCACACACGCCGGGGGGGCGGCACCCCGGGGGCCACGCAAGCGGGGGGCGACACGGGGCCGCGCCGCCGCCGCCGACCTCCTTCCTCCTCCTCCTCCTCCTCCTTCCTCCTTCCTCCTTCCTCCTCCTCCTTCGCCTCCTTCCTCCTTCCTCCTTCCTCCTCCTTCGCCTCCTTCCTCCTCCTTCCTCCTTCCTCCTTCCCCCTTCCTCCTTCCTCCTTCCTCCTTCCTCCTTTCACTCTTGCGTCTAGCCGAGAGGTGCTGATCGTCCGCATCCTCCGCCTGCTCCGCCTCGTGCGCGCCCTGCGCACGCGGGGGCCTCGGCGCCTTCCCCGCGGCCCCGGCGCCGCCCGGGCTCCGGAAAAGCGCGGCTGCCGCAGGGAGCCCCCGGCCTGTGCGGCGGAGGCCGCGGTCGGGAGCTTCGGCCTGTGCGGCGGAGGCCGCAGGGAGCCCCGGCCTGTGCGGCGGAGGCTGCGCGGCTGCCGCAGGGAGCCCTGGCCTGTGCGGCGGAGGCTTGAGACGGGGGTCAGTGCTAACGCGGGTCAGCCAGAGCGCCGGAGCCTGCAGGGTCCTGCGAAAACCCCCTCTGGCTGACCCGGGTTAGCGAGCCGCTCGTGGCCGCGAGGCGGCCGCGCCTCTTGGCCGACCCAGGTTTGCGAAGACCTTCGTTGCAGTTTTTTTTTTTTTTTGTTTGTTTTCCTGCGTTGCAGTTTTTGGTTTCCTGCTGACCTGGGTCTGGATTGACCCTGGTCAGAAGATCCCCGACGCGGCCCCGATAGGGTAGCTCAGAGGCAGCGAGGGGGTGGAATCGGGTCAAAAAGTAGTAGGTGGATGATTTTTCGACTGTTTCTGCGTACTTTGACTAGTTTTGGCTATGTCTCATTCTTCCTCCCAAATCCGCCTTCAGGAGGACATGCCCGACCTAACGATCGGGGTGACTGGCATAGGCCCAGGCCCCCTCGCGTTGTGCAAGAATCACGACGGGAGGTTTTTCGCTATTTTCGGCCTCCGACGGGTTTGCAGCGCACGGTCTTGGAGCGGGTGCGCACGAGGTGCGCCTGGAACGATCCTGGGATGCACCGCTGGGTCGTGGCTTGATGCGTTGACCTTGGTTCAAGCCCCGTTGCGGCCAGTGTGAAGGGGCGGGCCTGGGAAATCATCTGATGTTGCATCGTGGTTTCGTCATCGCAGTCAAATCGGCCCAGGAGGCCCCCAACAGCGGTCCGAATGAGCGCCCCCACAAGGAAAACTCGCACATACTGTTCGTTTGTAAAGCATACTTGCCCATGCGGCTTTGAGAGCGTCGCAGACGGCCCGTAAGGTCCCCCCCCCAAATAGCCCCAAGACGGCCCCCGAAGCTCTCAACAGCAGTTCCTGAGAGGCCTCCAAGGCGACAAAACGAGGGACCCCAAAGGGGGTCCGTGACCGACCTTTAGAACGTCCCCACCCCCAAGACGGCCCGAAGACTCCCCAAAGGCCCCCAAGAGTGAGTACTCCCCAAAGGGCTTCCAATAGGCTATCAAAGAGGCCCGCGGACAGCCATGATTTTTCAAACAGGTATGGCTGTTGTATGAGTTTAGCAGGCTCCCTGATTCGGTCAAGACCGTCCACGACCGTCCAGGACGGCCCATGGTCATGTTGCCCCACACATCGCCCAAGATTGCTCCCGATCCTCCCGCTACAGGGGCCGAAGTGGCTTCGAAGACTGGCCCACAGAGACCCAACAAGGGGTCCTCGGACCGCGCGAACTCTCCCCTCCAATACGGCCTGAAGATCCCCAAGGGGCCTCCAAGCGGCTCCCCAAGGATCCCCAGAAGTGGCCCACAGGAGGCCCCCAATGAGCTCAGAAAAAAAAACCAAGAGGCCACCAGGTGGTTCCCAAGGAACGGAATTATGAGGAAGAGAAGTGCGAGAAGGTGGGCGTGGAAGCACACGCGAATGATGAGGACGACGCCAATAAATACAAGGATGGTGTTGTTAGCGGTTATGTTTATGACGCTGCTGCTGCTGATGATGATGATGATGCTGATGATGATGATGATGATGCTGATGATGATTATGATTATCATGATGCTGCTGATGATGATGAGGATGCTGCTGAGGATGATGACGATGCTGACTATGATGATGATGAAGCTGATGATGCTGAGGATGATGAGGATAAAGATGCTGGTGATACTGATGATGATGACAATGATGATGATGTTGATGCTCCTGCTGCTGCTGATGATGGTGATGATGATGTTGATTAGGGTGAGGATGGGGGTGATGCTAATAATGATGAGGAGGATGAGGATGAGGATGAGAAATAATGATAAAGAGGATGATGAAGATCACGTTGACGATGATGATGATGTTGATGATGATGATGATGATTATGATGATGATGATGATAATGATGATGCTGCTGATGATGATTATGATGTTGATGATGCTGATGATGCTGATGACGATGATGATGCAGTCCAGTATGATGATGAAGCTGATGCCGATGATGCTGATGGTGATGATGCTGATGATGATGATGATGGTGATGATGATGATGATGATGATGATGATGATGATGATGATGATGTAATGCTGCTGGTGATGGTGATGCTGACGATGCTTATGATGATAAGGATGGTGATGATGCTGATGGCGAGGATGATGTGATGACGACGATGATGATGCTGGCGCCGCTGGTGCCAATGACGATGGTGATTGGGCTGATCGTGATGACGATGCTGATGATGATAATGATGATGATGATGATGACGAATCTGATGATGCTGATGATGATAAGCGTGATGACGATGCTGCTGATGATGATGATGCTGCTGATGATGGTTATTCTGCTGCTGATGATGCTGTCGATGACGATAGTGGTGGTGGTGGTGGTGGTGGTGGCGGTGATGACGATGCTGATGATGCTGATGATAATGGTGCTGGTGGTGATGCTGATTCGGAGGATGATGATTAGATGATGATGGTGATGATGAAGATGATGAAGATGATGCTGCTGATGCTGATAATGCTGATATTGATGATGATGAGGATGCTGATGCTGATGATGAGGCTGATGGTCATGACGATGAGGCTCAGAGGATGACGAGGATGATAATGACGATGATGCTGAAGTTGCTGATGCTACCACTGAGGTTCATGATGATGGTGGTGATGATGATGCTGCTGGTGATGCTGATGACGATGATGATGTTGTTGATGTTGATGTTGACGATGGTGGTGCTGCTCTTGCTGATGATTATGGTGATGATGATGAGGGTGATGCTGCTGATGCTGACGATGGTGATGATGATACAGTGCATGTTGATGATGGTGGTGAGGGTGATGTTGCTGTTGGTGATGGAGATGATGCTGCTGATGATGGTAAGGATGATGATGATGATGATGATGATGATGATGATGATGATGATGATGATGATGATGATGATGATGATGATGATGATGATGATGATGATGATGATGATGATGATGATGCTGATGATGATGATGGCGATGTTGATGCCTGTTATTATGATGGTAGTGTGGCCAGAGGAGGAGGAGGAAGAAAAGGATGAGGAGGAGGAGGAGGAGACATAAACATAGTATTCTTCATGTTAAGGTGAAGAGGAAGCGGAGGAGTAGAGGAGGAGGAAGATGAGGAGGAGGAGAAGGAGGTTCGGAGGAGGAGGGGGAGGGACATGGAGAAGGCGACGAGTTAGAGAGAGAAAACGAGAGGGGAGCGAGCCTCATGCATGTCTGGCTGTGCGCGCAGCGAGCCGAGGGGAATCCCAGCATTCCACGGGCGTCGAGGTCAGTCGCGGCGACTGGAAGGCCATGGTCAATATCAACATTCCAACGCACGGGGGTCACCTAGGCCAAGTAGCGAGGCACCAGGAGTGTCACCAAAGCAGAGCTCCGGGATCAATCGATCTTACTTGCAAGCCGACTATAAGCATTTTTTCACAGCTAGTTCTTTTGAGGCGTAGGAAAGTTGGGCAGGTTATAGAGCAACCCTATTGCCCATGTATTGAAACCGTTATCAGCACGCTTACTCTTTGACGTACTTCTCACTGCCAACCTATTCCGCGTGTATTGCCTACCGGTAGCTGCAGCTTTATGCTTCCTCTTGGTATAATTGCTTCCATTGTCCAAGCAGTGCTTGCACTAAGGGGATCATGCGTCCTTCGTAAGGAGCTGGACGCGAGCTCCATTTTTTCGACTCATTGACATCTCTTCGCTATCCCGTCGGCGCCTCATTGTTATGTTAGCTGTACTTTGTTTCGCGTTGCTTCACATTAGTTCGCATTGCCGTGTTATTCTTTGCGTGTTTTTGCACTGCTTGCATTGCTCTGCGTTGCTATGCCATGCTTTGCAACGCGTTGCATGGCTTTCCTTAGTTTGCGTTATTTTGCATTTATGTGCATCTTTTTGGTATGTTGTTATTTGATATGCAGTGCATCGGTTTGTGCGGATTTTCTCCAAATAGGCTTGCCCTATAGGAGTTCTTACTCAAACCCTACTAATTGGTCCGTTGCCCCCCCCTAATTCCTATGCCCCCCAACTCCTATGGCTAAGCCTATGCCTATGCCTTTGCCTATGCCTCCCCCCGAACTCCTATGCCTACGCCTACGCCTATGCCTCTGCCTCTGCCTAGGCCTTTGCCTATGCCTATGCCTCCCCCCGAACTCCTATGCCTACGCCTATGCCTATGCCTCTGCCTCTGCCTATGCCTATGCCTATGCCTATGCCTACGTCTATGCACCACTTCTGAGCGCTCCTATGTTTATGCCTATGCCTATGCACCACCTCTGAGCGCTCCTCCACCTCTTTGCATCATCGCCAGCACCATCAGCATCACCACTGTCATTCTCCCAATTGGCTTGCCCCATAGGAGTCCTAGCCCATCATAAGTAGTTGGTCTTTAGGACCCCCCCTTTTTCCAATGGCACCCCCGCCTTTTTCCAATGGCCCCCCCCCTTCTTCCAATGGCACTTGCTTGCTTGCTCTTGCGTGCTTGCTTTCGCTTGCTTGCTCTTGTTTGCCCTTGCTTGCTTGCACTTGATCGCTGACTCTTGCTTGCTTATTATTGCTCGCTTGCGCTTGGTTGCTTCCGCTTGCTTGCTTGCGCTTGCTTGATTTTGCTCCCTCCTCCCGTTCTCCTCCCGTCTTGCTCCCGTCCTCCTTTCGTCCTCCTCCCATCCTCCTCTCGTCCTCTTCCTGTCCTCCTATCTATTTGGAGTCAACGCTGGCTGATATGCACTGCATCCGTTGCGTTGCATTCCTTGCGTTCATTTGCCCTACTTTTGTTTGTTTTGGTTCGCCTTGCATTGCTTTGCATTGCGCTGCACTGCTGTGTATCGTTTTCGCACTTGTCTGTATAGCGGTGCGCTGCTTTCGCAAATGTTCGGCATGATCTGCTGCTTAAGCATGTGCACGCGCACGCGCACGTGCACGCGCACGCGCACGCGCACGCACGCACGTGCGCACGCGCACGTGGACTTCGTCGTCCCAGCGCTGGCGATCGTAAAAAGCGAGGCCGAGGCGGCAGACCGGGGCGCGGAAACGTAACACGTGCAGGGGGGACGGGGGCGGGAGGAGGCAGCCGCAGAGGAGGGCAAAGGCGGCTGCGCGCGCAGAACCCGGTGGCTCAAAGATGGGGTCCTGAGGGATGGGGGCCCAAGGACAGGAACGGATCCAAGGGTGGATCTACGTTGTTTGTGACACCTCGTCCTTAGGGCCTCATCCCTCAGGGCCCCATCTCTGAACCACCGAAGAGCGTGGAGAAACTCGCCAGCAGTGCTGTGGTGGCAGGCTCCCAGGGGAGTCGCGCGAAGGTGGGGTCCATCCAGGACTGACCGGCGGCCGCTGCGAAGTGCTGTCTGGCCAGGGGCGCACGATCGAGCGGTCGAAACCGAGCTTGGCTGAGGGGCCCCAGTGACGTCGGGAGTGCCAAAGTGCACGTTGCGTTGAGGCGTGGTCGAAAGCGGCCAGGAGAGACCGGGTCCAGAGAGTGCGAAGGATTGCCGAGTGGACGATGACCCCGTGTCGACGCGGCGTCCTGGTGCGGGCGAGCGGGTCGCACGGTCGGCCACAAGGGTGCCAGAGGTGCAGGTGCTGCGTGCAGCCAGTTCCCTTGACTCACGCGCTCGCACACATGTACCGTATCGAGCGAAGGCCCGAGGCTAGACTTCTTCAGCGATCGTGCTTGACGCCTTGGGAAAATAGATCCAGGTCTTGAGCGGTTCCCAGGGGTCTCCCGGACTGGTGGCGGACAGGCGCTGCCTCCCCACGAGTTTTATGCATCAGTTCCGCACAGTTGCTCTCTCTCTCTCTCTCTTTCCCTCGCTCTCTCACACTCTGATGTCATACGTATGGCGCCCGCATCTGAGCCGTACCCTGTTGAGCGCTTGAATTATATTCCTGGGAGCTGGTCCCCAGGAAAGGGATCCCGTCGTCGCCCTCACTGAATCTCTACCCAAACGACCGCCCCACAACTCACCCAGCTTCCCAACACCACCGACCGCCCGCCCTCCTTCCCGTCCGCCGATCATCACCGATAGTCTGCCCGATATCGATCGGATATCGGTCGCAATGGGCTGCGATCGAGACGCTACGCTGAGGATATCTTTCTTTCAGGACCTGTGGAAGCTTGTCAATGGTGTGCTTGGGTCGTTGAGGACGGTGTTGTCGGCGATGTTCTTGCTTCTTGCGTTCACGTTTGTGTTCGCATGCATCAGCGTATATTTAATCAAGAAGAACGACCGGCTCATGGACAATGCTGAGACAGCCGAGATCGTGAGGGAACGATTTTCGAGCTTGCCAATGTCCATGCTCACGCTACTGCAGTTTTCTGACGCAGATTCCATTGGGGAGATATACGGCCCTCTCATCAGGACAGATGCCCGGCTGCTCGTATATTTTGGGCTGGTATTTACTTTGTTCACCATAGCGTTGATCCAGCTGCCTGTGGCAAGTCCCGACACCGTGCCAGCCCAGCATTTTGGGTGGTGACTGTTCGAGGGGCACGTCAGACCGTCACGTATGACACTTCGAGTCTCCAGGCTTGGCATAACTGGGTGGCCAACCTTAAGCAAGACGGCCTCGAGCCGTTCCACAGGTTGGACCGCCCTCCCCATTCTTGTGGTCTCTCTTTCTCTCTCTCTCTCTTTCTCTTCCTCTTTCTATCTCTCTCTCTCTTGTTCTCTCTCTCTCTCTCCCCCTCTCTCTCGCTCTTGCTTTCCCCTCCCTGCTTTGCTTGCTGCTTTCCTGTCTCGCTCGCTTGTTTCCCTGTTGCCTTCTGTCTCCCCTTGCCCTGTCTCTCACAGCCTGCCTTTTTCCCGTCTTGCTCGGAGTATGTGTGTGTGTGTGTGTTTGTGGAAGGCTTTGTAGGGTGCCTGTGCGCCAAGAGGAGGATGAGGAGGAGGATGAGGAGGAGGAGGACGCGGAATACCAGCAGCAGGAACAGGAGCAGGAACAGGAGCAGGATAAGGAATAAGAGGAAGGCCGTCACGCGTAACACCTTTCGTCTTCACTTTTCGAGGAGCTCTCATGGAGCTCATTTGGGCCATCTTGGGGCTGTCTTGGACTCCTATAGGGCAGTTTCGGAACTCCCTTGGGGCCGTCATGATGTCCTCTTGGGCAGTCTTGGGGCCCTCTTAGGCCGTCTTGGGGCTCTCTTGGGCCGTCTTGGGGCCCTCTTGGCGGTACGGGGGGTGTCTCGGTGCCGTTATGAGGCCGTCTTGCAGCCGTTGTTGGCCGTCGACGGGCCTTCTGCGGCCGTCTTGGGTACTTCGGAGGCCGCCTTGGGGCCATCTTGGAGGCCTCTTAGGCCATCTCGGGGTCCTTTGGGCCATCTCGGGGCTCTCTGGGGGGCCTCTTCGGCCGCTATCTTGGAGGCTTCTTGGGCCGACTCGAGCTGATGGTTATGCGGACCCATTTTGGGGTCCCTCTTGTGGCCCTCTTGGGTGCTCTTGGAGCCATCGTGGGCTGTCAAAAGGCCACCTTGGGCCGCCTTGGGCCACCTTGGGCCGTCTTGGAGTCATCCTGGGCCGTCGTGGCTGCCTTGGCTGCCTGCCTGGGCCGTCTCGGAAGCTCGGGAGGGCGGTTCCACGGTTTTTTGCTGCTGGAGGGATCGTGGCATCGGTAGCGTCGAGCCACTGTTTTTGTTGGGAGTGGTCGTTGCCTCGGGAGGGGTGGGGGGCACGATGTCGGAAGCTGGAGCATATACATTACCAGTGGCGGGCTGTTTTTCAATCCCACGACTTTTTGAGAGTCGGGGACGACGTCGGGGTGGTGTGGTGCACACTTCTCCCCCGTTTTCCAAGGGAAACAACGAAACATGTATACACCAGGACCCCGTATACACCAGGATCCGCGTTCCTCTGCGAATTTCAGCGCAGGGTCGGAAAACGCGTCGGTGCAGAGAGTTCGTTTCCCTACGATGCACGCACCAATCCGCTGGTCGACGGGGGGGAGAGGCCGTAGAGGAGAACCCACGCCCTGCCAGACAACACTTGAGATTCTACCACGCCTCAACGTTTCAGGGGGAACGTTCTCGGATGAATCTTGTTACAGCTGTAATTGTAGAGCACGCCATTGAGTGCTCCAAACTTGACACGGAGATGCAACAGGTCATGATGAGAAAAAGGCTGAAGAAAGTGCAGCCGCAGATACTCGAGGTTTTCCGTGCAATGGACGAGTCTGGAAACGGGAACATCTCCATCAGCGAGCTCAAGGATTGGCAGTTCCAGAAGAATACTCTGCCACGAGACATACGGGACCTCGTCATGCCTGACGCACTGGCAGACCTCTTCGATCGAGGATGCCTTTCGGAATTTGACCGCCAGCTCAGCCCCGCATGCAGCGGCCGAGGCAATTTGCACATGTGTACACTAGGTGCTTGTGGTCTGTAGGTATGTCAGTATGTATGTACGTATGGTGTTTCGCTCAAGTATGAGATGGGTGTGCGCATACGTACTTGCGTGATCATATGCACAGGTATGTGCATGTGCATATTTCTGTTTACATATGTGTGTATAGATATAGATACATGTGTGTGTGTGTGTGGATGCATTGTTACCCTCATGGCGACACGCATCACCATGTGAGTGGTCAACCGTCCTGGGAACTGGCCCACCTCCCTTCTGGGGGATTGCTGCCCGCTGTCGCGGGGAGATGGTGGCAGGACGCGACGATGAAGAGACGCTAGGCGGCCGTTGTGTGCCAACGTGCCCGAATACGGGGGCGATGCCAGCGCCAGCCGCTGGTCTCAGTTCTCGCCCTCGGGTGAGAGATCCTCGCCCTGGCCACGAGCTGTCTGTTCTGCGATCGGGGAACTGTCGGTGAGGTTCGAGGATCCAGGATCCAGGGCTGGAGGCTGGAAGGATCGAGCGTCGAGGATCGACGATCGGCGATACCCGGCTTCGAGGTTCGAGGATCCAGGATCCAGGGCTGGAGACTGGAAGGATCGAGCGCATCTGCGATGCCGTATGGTCACACCCCTCCTGAGCCAGCCCCCTCTGAAGACTCTCCTCGGCCTGTGGGTGGTGATTGACAGCGATTCCTGTCCGTTGCGAGCCAGAGCCGCGATCGGTCTCACGGCGAGCCTGGTCTGTCCATCCCCAGCTGCGGTGATCCTCGGACTGCATCTGCCGTGGGGCATCGCCGTCAGACGTAGAGATGAGGCGCAGCTGCCATAGACTCCACCACGGGGGGCATAGTCGACAGCGCGGTCATTTCTGGCATTGGCACGTGCCTGCCTCGTCCCCTACGGGTGACCGCGGAGTTTCTGGACACGGACAACTCGGGGGAGATCGACCAGGACGAGTTCGTGGACGGCATCTCGCACCTGGCCCTCTCGAACAGCAGCATCGAGACGACACAGATACTGCAGCTCCTGCGCGACTCCAAAAGGTGCCTGCAGTCTGTCGTGGGGACCATGGGCGGCGACAGCGCCCACTCGGACTCTCCGGCCCGGCGCAGGAGTAAAAGCAATCCTGGCTCGCAGAGCCAGCTCTTGGGGGCACCTTGTGAACCTGAAATGTTTCGTGCTCAGTCTATTTGACACTAGATGGCATTTGCATCCTGCGTATTCTGAGTTTCCGCTGCTAGGTGGCCACCCGACTTCGAAATGCCTAATCGCATCATGTCACGGGTGGGCTGGCCCTGGGTTGGAGTGGGGGTATGGGGTGGAGGGCGGTTGGGTGGGGTGGGGTGTTGGCATGGTATCAATCGATCTTGGAAGCCTCTCCTGGACCATATGGTTCAGGGCGTTCACCCAAAGCGTCTGGGAGCGGTGGGGGATTTGATGTGCGGAGACGCGACTGAGACCCATCGCGGAGATCTCTGGAGGAAGGCAGCAGTGCTTTCGTGACGGTAGCCAGGAGGGCATCACGCGCTCAGAGTTTAAACCCTGTTCGCACTTGCGTGAGCTCAAGACGACGCCATGTGCATAAGCGCTTGCATGCGCATGCGATTGCGCGTGTGCGAGTGTGTGTATGTGTGTGTGTGTGTGTGTGTGCGTGCGTGCATGCGTGCGTGCGCGCGTGGGTGTGTGTGTGTGGGTGCGTGCGTGTGTGTGTGTGTGTGTGTGTGTGTGTGTGTGTGTGTGTGTTAGTGTGTGTGTGTGCGCGCGCGCGTGCGCGTGCGTGTGTGTGTGTGTGTGTGTGCGTGTGTGTGCGCGCGCGCGTGTGTGTGTGTGTGTGTGTGTGTGTGTGTGTACGTGCGTGCGTGCGTGCGTGCGTGCGTGCGTGCGTGCGTGCGCGTGTGCGCGCGCGCGCGCGTGTGTGTGTGTGTGTGTGTGTGTGTGTGTGTGCGCACGCGAGCGTTGCGTCTGCGCGTTCCACATTTGCTGACCAGCTGTTGTCGCAAGGCCGGGAAGTCGACTCCAGGTCTGACGTATCGCCGACGACTCCCGACGTCGGACCCTGCGCTGGTTGGAGTCACGGGAGCTCCTCTGCTCCTCTCTGGCCGTCCCGCGCGGCCCCGCGGGCCGGGGCCTCTTCCCTGCCCCCGTCCCCTGGCCGCCCCCTCTCGTGCGCCAGCACGGTCTCCGCGCGGTCCACACATCTGCCGCTCGCCAGATGGGCGCCGCCCCAGCGCCATGCGCCTCGTACAGTAGATGGGGTCGGAGTAGATGGGGTCGGAGGACCGCGCCGCATCGCCGATACATCGGCGATGCATCGTCGACGTCGGCGATGCATCGGCGACGTCGGCGTGGAACATATCGGGCTCCACATCGAGCCGCATCGCGGATGCATCGGCGATGCGGTACGATCCTCCGACCTCACCTAACCTGACCCCATTTGGGAGGCCTACATTGTAGAACCCGCGTGCGAGTCACGCGGGAGAAGGACCCGCTCGCCAACCCAGTGAGTCGCGCCCCGCTCCGTCCCTGCCCTGCGGCCTCTGCAGCCTGCAGCCCTGCCCTGCCTTGCCCTGCGCTTGCCTTGCCTTTGGGCGGTCCTCCGCAGAGTGGAGCACCTGGTGATCGTGGCGCACGGCGTGCTGATCCCTCTTGTCGACCAGACGTCAGAGTGACCCTTCGCCGCAGTGACCTTGGTGCGGGCACATCGGGGTCCCCCGATCGCCGAACGTGATGCGACAGTAGCGTCTTGTGCGCCTGTGTGTTGGTCACCCCGCGGCACCAAAAAGGCCGCGCACCAAAGGTCACTCTTACCCAGGGTCGCTCTTGCGTGTAGCCGACTCTTCCGCCTCCTCCTCCCTCCTCCTCTTGCTGGCCGCGCTCTGCTCCTGCAGCGGCGCGGGTCACCCTTCGAGGCAGCTGCCCCCGCTAGCTGGCGTTCAGCAGCCAGCTCACGCCAGACCAAACTGAAGGGTTCGCCGTCCTGGGCCTCTTCTTGCAACGCATAGGCGTCTCCCAGCGGGTAAGCCGCACTGAGCGTGATGTGACAACCAGCTTTCTCCTTCGACATGTTGCATTGAGCAGCCGTTGCAGCCGACTTGCTGGTGCTTTGCGTGCTCTTCTCCTCCTGTTCTCCTCTCTGCGTCCGCCCCTGCTCTGTGTCTCCTCGAGCTGCTGCTCTGTGCCCCTGCCGTTGTGGCGACCGGGTTCGGGGCCTCTTCGTGTGACCGCGGACCAGGCCCTTCCGCATTCTCCTGCGTACGGTGCACGCTCGTCGTGTCTCCCTTTGTCGCCACTTGTCTACCCGCAGTACGGCTCGCTCCCGAGAGCACGTGGAACTCGGCTCGTGCCTCGTTCACGTACCACCAGTCGAGCATTCCAAGGACCTGTAGTGATCTTGTTCGCGCCTCGTTGATGCAGATGCGGACAGCATGGGGCAGTGCTGCATGACCAGCCGCTCGAGTGCTTCGGTGGCCCACGGACGTTGTGTGTGTGTGTATGTATGTGTGTGTGTGTATCGTTGTCCCTCTTGCCGTCTTCTTGTCTCCTCGCGTCTGCAGTGCTGTCCCACGCGGGTCGTTCCCGTGCGCGGCGGCTGGTGTCCCATTGAGACATGAAGCGACGAATCGAAACTTGTCCTATCCACGGGCATCGGCCTCTCCGGAACTACTGGAAAGCAGAAGTCCAAGCTCTATGCTGGCCTGCTGGGCCTCGGGCGCTTGTATCACGGCGGAGACGCAACATGGTCTACTGCATCGACCGTGGACATAGATACATACAGCCGTCCACCACCCCAAGCAACAAACCGTCGCGAGACAAGACGCCTCCTATGAAGGGAATCTTAGAACTAATTGTGAAGACGGTGCTCGCTGCACTACCCATGCAGGCCGGATTTCGGGCACACCCCTAGAAGTCGGCAGCACACGCCATGAGTTCTGCCCAGGGACAAAAAGATCTTGAGAAGGTCCGCGACGCCCGTCCTGGCCCACACCCGATGAAAGGGGCACCTCACCCACAGTCTGCTTCCCTTTAGAGTCTGCGGGGCAACCACGTGGTGCTGACAGGAGGGTGGCGGGGTCCACGCCTTGCAAAGTTGGAGGAAATATTTGGGATACTTGTACCGTTCGAGGCAGGAGACGAGCACAGAGCGCACTTCCAGGCTAAGAGTCCAGCTGTACGAGTGTCTGTGCAAACGGGCTAAGTCAGCGAGGGGCCACGCACAGTGCACATTTTTCGGATGTTCCGATGCGGTTGCCAGTGGGACTCCCAGGGAGGTCTTCTTCCAGATGGGCCTGTAGTCAAACCTCCCGCATCTGGCAAACTTCGGGCCCTTGAACATGTGGATGTCTAGCATGTCGAGGCCCCTGGTTGACACGCCTTCTACTTTGCATTCGAAGTACGATTGGGGCCCATCTGGGCCCGCTCCAAGCCAACCGACGAACGTCCAGTAAGTTTCCATACACGCGTCGATGAAGATCAGCATGTCATGTTTGTACCTGACATGCTCGTGTATACCATTTTTCTCGAGCCATGCTTTATTGTCGGCTGTGCCATTCTCGACGCTGTGGTAAAAAAAGCGTTTGTAAAATCCCCAGAATAGTTCATGCCCATGCCCGAGCACCGGATGACTTTCCAGGTGCGGTCTGGGTCGTAACGGGTACTGCGAACTCGTTGTTGAAGAGAAACGACGCTTCTTCCCCCACTATTGTTTGGAGATGTTCTGGTACAACGTGTTGGCTGCAGCAATCAACGTCCTGGCCTCGCCAGACATGAACACATCTTTCACGCCGAGCCTAGGAATGGGCGTGCTGCTACGAAACTCTGTGTTGTTTATCATCTCAATCAGGTTTTCTGTGTTATTGGGAATCTGCCCCTTATTCCTAAGCTCTGCGCCCAGGATGTGCGAGAGCCATGCTTCCAACCCTTTGAATGCATGTCCTCGTCTGGTGTGGACTGCTCTGAAGGTGATGTTTCCTGGGGGCTTGTGTGTTTTGAGGACCTCCCAAAGAGAACAACACATCTTAGCTCTCCTCCCTCCAAGCTCTGCCATAGCGATTTGCCAGTGGCCGGGTCATCTATGGCGCAGGTCTTCTCAACAATCTTGTCTTACTCCTCTGTGACATGTTTCCGAACTATGTTAAGAGTTGAGACTTCTTGATAGTGAGGGCTGGCCAAACTGTTGACATGATATTGGATCAGCACGATTTTGGCGACCAATGCGAATCCCCCATCCTTGTCTGTGAGGGCAGGAGCCCACGGGAGGTCACCAAGCTGTCGAACTTTTAATCGAATGACTCCGCAAACGTTCGAATATCTCGGCCTGCCCCTGGCACAATTGAGGGTGAACCTGAAGCGCCTGAAGATCTGGTACCTCACTGCATGTAGCATTGAATCTAATTCCAGCGGTACTGGATAAGGGACATATTTCACGTTATTGGTAGTTGGCCGAGCTCGGAATGAGTAAGACGAGACGTCACCACTCTGTCGAACATGCCAACTCCACAGAATCTTCTGACGAATCTACTCGATCATCTTGGATGCGTCTGCTAACCTAGGTAGCGATTTGGGTGAAAGAAATGCTTGCGGTGAAATCGGGAGATGAGAACTTTTACAGGCCAAGGAACTTCGCCGAAAGCTGGATGCCTGCAGGACGCTGCCGACGCAGCGAAATATAAAGCTGCTCCTGATGAATGTCTTCCAGAAGCCACTCAAGATCACCGTGCGGCATGCCGTCGACGAGCTTGCCATTTCTCCGATCTCCTTTCTTTCCTTGTCCTCCTCCTCCAGGCTGCCCTCCTTTGCCGCCGCCTTTCTTGCCGCTGCGAGGGCCCCCCATATTCTTGTTGTTGTATTATTGTTCGTAGCTTTGCCATTCTTGTCGTGTTTGCCCTTGCCTTTGTCTATGTCTTTCCTTTTCGATTTGCCCTTTTCGCCCTTGTCGCATTTAGTACGGTTGTTCCACGTCAGCGCAGCGCCCCCAGATCCTTTGCCAAGGCCTGGTGACGGGTCGTTTTTTGGACGCAGAGCTGTCGTGCGGTCTTCCTTCCGTCGGGATTGTTGGGATTTCGTGAGCACTCGTTTTGGTTTCTTGCCAGACTGCTTGGCTGTATACCAACAAGATACGAAGCCCCGTCCACATGAGACTGCTTTCCCGTAACCTCCTGCTTCACGGCCGCCGCGAATCTCATGGACGGGGGGCTGTCATCAAAGATCTTATTTTTTCGTTCAATTTTTGCTTAGTTGCCTGCTTTTCCTCCTTGGCCTTGGCATGCTCCGGAGCCAATCGCCGAACCATGGAACGATACATCGCAATAGCCTCCTGTCCT